TAAAATATCTCGTAAAATATTTAGTTTTCGATAATCAGTTTTTGATAATCTTACCGTAATACTTTTATGTACAGAATAATGAGACAAATCAATTAGTGTAAAGAGAAAAACAAATAATTGTTTAAAAAAATACATCGTAAATAATTACATACTTTTTCTTAAAAACAATTAGTTTTTTTATACTAATTGATTTGTCCCAATATTCTGAACATAAAAGTATTACGGTAAGATTATCGAAAACTACATATTTCACGAGATATTTTAATTTTTATATCAGAATATGTCAGATTAAAATATAAAATAACTCAAAAAGTACTTAATAAAAAAATACTTTATTATAGTGTTTTGAAAAGCTTTCGAGATAAGCTACAAGAATATGCAATAAAAAGTAGGCAGTTCCATTTAAAAAATTGAAGGTGACCTTATTTAAGAAAATATCGATCACATTGACTTGGCCTTGAAAAGGTCACTCAAGGTCAAGTCCATATTTTCATCATGTGTCCCCCTCTGAACCCTACAACTTTTGTATAAAACATTTTTTTCCATCTTGCTTACTTTACGAGATATTTGCGTGTATTGATTAAAATGACACCCTGTATATACAGGGTGAGTCTGATAAAAAGTCCACCATGTTTTTCTCAAAAACGATTAGAGATAGGGGAAGACATCCTGTATCAAATTTGTAGGACAAGTAGGGGCACATATTTTGGTGACCTTGAATTTGACCTTGAACTTGACCTTGAGGGTCAATTGAAGATCAATTTTGTTTTCTTAAATTACACAAATTGATTTGTCTCATTATTCTGTACATAAAAGTATTAGGGTAAGATTATCGAAAACTAAATATTTTACAAGATATTTTATTTTTTATATCAAAATGTCAGGTTAAGATATAAAATAACTCAAAAAGTACTTAATGGAAACATACTTTATTATATTGTTTTGAAAAGCTCTCGAGATAAGCTACAAGAATATTCAATAAAAAGGGGGGTTTCCATTTAAGAAAACAAAATTGACCTTCAATTGGCCCTCAAGGTCAAGTTCAAGGTCAAGTTCAAGGTCACCAAAATATGTGCCCATACTTGTCCTACAGAGATAAGCTACAAGAATATGCAATAAAAAAGGGGGTTTCCATTTAAGAAAACAAAGTTGACCTTCAATTAACTCTCAAGGTCAAGTTCAAGGTCACCAAAATATGTGCCCCTACTTGTCCTACAAATTTGATAATGGATGTCTTCCCCTATTTCTAATCGTTTTCGAGAAGAACTTGGTGGACTTTTTATCAGACTCACCCTGTATAATATACAGGTTGTATACAACATTAGTTTAAAAGATCAAAAGGGGTGGCCACTTTTGATGGGAAACTCTGTATATATATACAGGGGAAATGATGCACTAAACTTTAGAAGCGTATTCTAGAGGTCAAAATAAGACTTTTTTTCTTATGAACATGGGTCTGCAAATAAACCCCCCTCCGAGCTAAAATTCGAAAATGTATGAAATACGTTTTTATTTTTTCATTTTAGGTTTACTTTACTTCATAATTTACTGGGCTATACCAAATTTCAACCTTCTGCCATTTTTGTCTGAAATACAGCCAATTTTTAATTTTTTCCCCAAACTTTGGGAGTGTCTAGGTCGGAGGAGGGTTCATTTGCGGACCCATGTTTATAGAAAAAAGTCTTATTTTGACCTCTAGAATATGCTCCTAAAGTTTAGTGCATCATTTCAGATACACCCTGTATATGTATACGAGTACACGTGCATATGTACCCATTACATATAAAAGAAGGCATTAGATTATCTGAAAGAGATATGGCAGACACTCAGAATTTATGACTTCACAGCTCCATATTTCTTTACTCTTTGATTTTATGTGGTTGTGACAATAAAGACATTTGTTCAGAATTATAAAAACTACAATATATTTCAGAACGGAGCAATTTGACCGGGATCACTTTTCCATAAAAAAGTTCTTTGCAATTAAAGTTGCAAAAAAGGACTATTTTTATGACCTTTGTCATATTATAACTACAATATGACGTGCTGGAGAAGTTTTATTACAATCAAAATAAAGTATGTTGTTAGGACTTTCAACCTTTAAAAGGAATTTTTGGTATCGGTTATGGTTAATAAAATATCCATAGTTAAATATGGGGTGTATTGTAGAAGTTAGCTGTGACTTAGGTCATTGATGATTTACCAAGTAGCTTTCAATTATTATTTAAACTTAAAGGCCCGGGCACATAAAAAAACTTAAGCAGTAGCGGGATTTTCTAACGTCTTAGCGACGATTATCGTTGTCGTTAGCGAGCGATAGCCTGTGAGAGTTGCGCTTTTCACCAGAATTGTCCTTGCCATTGGCTGTCGCTAGTTAACGATACGGAAAACTGTCGATAGCAAGTTACTGAATCCCGCTACAGTAAGACTTAAGATGTAAGCGAATTGACCAATCACATCGAACAGTAAGGCAGCCATAATGAAACGTAAGCAACACTGAAAATTCCGTATGGATGAAATTCTTAAAGGCCATGGCACACAAAAAAACTTAAGCAGTAAGACTTAAGACTTAAAAATTTCATCCATACAGAATTTCCAGCGTTGCTTACGTTTCAACATGGCTGCCTTACTGTTCGATCGTGATTGGTCAATTCGCTTATGTCTTAAGTCTTACTGCTTAAGTTTTTTTATATGCCATGGCCTTTAGTCTTAAATCTTATTGCTTAAGTTTTTCTATGTGCCACTGGCCTAAGAGTTTTTTAGATCACTGAATACGAATCCAATGTCAAAATTGTCAAATTCAAAATGGTGGACTCAAATATTTAGATTGCAATCTAAACATATTTTAAGTTTTGACATCTACCATATTGAGTTCACCAAATTTTGAATTTGACAATTTTCACATTGGATTCATATTCAGCGATCTAAAAAACTTTTAAGTTTAAATAAATATTATTGAAAGCTATTTGGTTAATCGTCAATGATCTAAGTCATAGCTAATTTCTGCAATACACTCCATATTTAACCATGGATATCTTATTAACCATAACCGACACCAAAAATTTCTTTTGAGGGTTGAAAGTCCTAACAACATACTTCATTTTGATTGCAATAAAACTTCTCCAGTACAAATTGTAGCTATAATATGACAAAGTTCGTGAAAATAGCCCTTTTTTGCAACTTTAATTGAAATTTCTCAAAATTCTGACGTGATGGAGCAATTTCGAAACCGGATTTGTGTTCAGTGTCCAAAAACCTAAAAGAAACGACTAGTCCCGTTCCGGTGTTTTTTTTTTGTTGAACTGTGTTATTGAATGCGATTATATTTGATTTATGTGAATGTTCTTTCTTTTTTAATTACCATAAGCACATAATTTGAACAATTCATGAAAGAAGGCCATCATACTCTCGGCTCCTTCTCCTCCATATCTCTTTAGACTAACAAATTTTGTGGCCAAAAAGTTATCAAATGCTTGACTTTTAAGCATTTCTATGGCTATTGTTTTACATGTTTCATCATCTAATGGCTCGTTCAAAGTTGTTTCCACAGTTTCAGCAAACCATTCTCTTTCTTCTTCCGTCTACTCAATCAAGACAAGATTCTATTATTAATGCTCCGGAAAAAGTCCATATATAATTAAATATAAATATAGGTAAATTTAAATAATTTAATTTATTATATTAAAGATTTTTTCGGACAGGAATTGTCCAAATAAGTGAAAATCGAACAATTATTTGTCCGATTTTCCAAAAATCAGTTCAATATCCGAATTCCCTGTATGGGAATCGTGTCAAAAATTGAACTGATAAAAATAGATATATTACAATATTATTAGCGGCATTTTGCAGACTTTATATACACTCATGACAAAAACTCGAATGCGGGTATAGATAGTGAATAACGCGCCGCATAGCGGTAAGCAACTGAGCTATACTATTTTAAATAATAGTTAATTTGCAGATTCTGTTCAGTTTTTGCTGCCAATTTGCCGTCAGATTCTGCACGCCAGATCTTGCTCAGTTTCTGCCGACAATCTAATGTCAATCATGTCAGCAAGCTTTGCTCGGTTTTTGACTTCAATTTGCTATCAAATTATGTCAGCAGATTTTGTTACATTTCTGCTGGCATTGTGGTGACATCATCGGATAAAACAGATCTTGTATCAAATTTTCATTCGTTTTGTCAACAAAATCTGTAGCAAGTTTTCATAAAATTTGTTTTTGTTAGACTTGGCTATCTAGATAGTCTTTTAATTATTTTTTTTGTACATAGGTCAAACAAGCTACAGACAAGGATTTTACAAGAGAAAGAAAACATATACATATATATTAGAGATGCAACAAATAGTATATTCGACCGAATACCGAAGACCGAATATTAGGCAAGGTCATGTGCCGAATAACCGAATATTCGGCGAATATTAGGCACGGTTTTAGCGCCAACGGCTCAACAATCCTGACACTCATTCAAGTTTCTAGGAATGTTACACAGACTTCTATATATTACTAGACTATTAACTCCCCAAATTTCTCTTATATAAAATAGCCTCAAAACCCATATAGCACAGAACATTGCAAGTTGCATTGTTGAGACATTATTGGAACATGTAATTGTAATATTTCATGAGAATGTTACAGCAACATTTCAAAAACATTACAAAAATACAAAAAAGATAATCGTTCGTTCGTTTACCGCTATGCGTTGCGTTATCTATCCCGCATTTAAGTTTTAATCACGATGGTCATATAAAGCTTGCAAAGAGCTGCTAGTAAAATTAAAGATATAATAACTATTTTTATCAGTTTAATTTGTCTGATACGATCCCAACACAGAGAATTCAGATATTATTGAACTGATTGTTCAGAAATCGGACAAATAATAAGTGTCCGAAAAAGTTAAAATTCTCCATTTATTGTCTATATAAGATGTAAAATAGAGTCTAATATTTATATAATTAAAATTTCAACTTTTATGAATTAAATTATTTAATCATTATCAATTTCTTAAAGTTGTAAATTATTTATAAAATAGTGATGTTAATTATAGAAAACAGAATTATAGATAACAGAAAATTGTTTAATAGTTTCCATTTCTATATAAAAACAAAAATTTGGTAATAATATTTTAATATGTAAAATGCTTCAAATTTAATAAATAAACATTGAGAATATATAAAAACATCCAAGAGGGACGAGAAAAAACTCGTTGTAATTCACAAAATATTTTTTTCTTATCTCTCTTGGATCGTCTTTATATATTTTCAAAGTTTATCTATTAAATTTGAAGCGTTTTGCATATTTGTAGCAATGCATTTCAATATTACAAATACATTGCACCGTAACATTACTGTAGTCTTACATTGTAATATTTCTAAGGGCGGACATTTCAACGTTGCCGCAGGCTTGCAGTAACATTGCAGAAACATGGTAAATATTTAGATTAACGTATCCACCTCCAATGACTTTGACCTTGATATATGTTGTCAAGGTCACTGTCCTGAGTAACATCCAAGAGGTTTTAGCCGTCGCTCGTTGTTCGTTAAAATGTTATTAACAAAAAAAGTTTGAGAAATATAGCAGTTATTTTAAGTATTCAAATGTGGAAATAGTACATGTATAAACAAAGAAAAGTTATTTAAAGGAGTAAATCGTTGATATATTGAAGAGTCTTTTTGTTAAAACAGAAAATAGTTGCTTCGGTCCAAAACGAAATTTGTAATTGTTCTGTTCCACATGGGTTTTCGACTTTCCACACGAAGCAAGGTCTATCCCTAGAACATATACAGGGTGTATCCTAAAAAGTGGGAAGTATTGCAATGGGGGATTCAGGACACAAAGACAAAAACTTAAATATACGGGTATAGATAGTGAATAACGCGCCGCATAGCGGTAAGCAACTGAGCTATACTATTTTAAATAATAGTTAATTTGCAGATTCTGTTCAGTTTTTGCTGCCAATTTGCCGTCAGATTCTGCACGCCAGATCTTGCTCAGTTTCTGCCGACAATCTAATGTCAGTCATGTCAGCAAGCTTTGCTCGGTTTTTGACTTCAATTTGCTATCAAATTATGTCAGCAGATTTTGTTACATTTCTGCTGGCATTGTGGTGACATCATCGGATAAAACAGATCTTGTATCAAATTTTCATTCGTTTTGTCAACAAAATCTGTAGCAAGTTTTCATAAAATTTGTTTTTGTTAGACTTGGCTATCTAGATAGTCTTTTAATTATTTTTTTTGTACATAGGTCAAACAAGCTACAGACAAGGATTTTACAAGAGAAAGAAAACATATACATATATATTAGAGATGCAACAAATAGTATATTCGACCGAATACCGAAGACCGAATATTAGGCAAGGTCATGTGCCGAATAACCGAATATTCGGCGAATATTAGGCACGGTTTTAGCGCCAACGGCTCAACAATCCTGACACTCATTCAAGTTTCTAGGAATGTTACACAGACTTCTATATATTACTAGACTATTAACTCCCCAAATTTCTCTTATATAAAATAGCCTCAAAACCCATATAGCACAGAACATTGCAATTACATTGCAGCAATGTTACAATCTTGCAAGTTGCAATATAATATTGTTGAGACATTATTGGAACATGTAATTGTAATATTTCATGAGAATGTTACAGCAACATTTCAAAAACATTACAAAAAACAGTTTTTGATAATCGTTCGTTCGTTTACCGCTATGCGTTGCGTTATCTATCCCGCATTTAAGTTTTAATCACGATAGTTATATAAAGCTTGCAAAGAGCGGCTAGTAAGATTAAAGGTATAATAACTATTTTTATCAGATTAATTTGTGTCTGATACGATCACAACACAGGAAATTCAGATATTGAATTGAGTGTTCAGAAATCGGACAAATAAGTGTCCGAAAAAGTTAAAATTATCCGTTTATTGTCTACTTAAGATGTAAAATGGAGTTCAATATTTATATAAATAAAATTTTAATTTTTATGAATTAAATTGTTTAATCATTATCAATTTCTTAAACTTGTAAATTATTTATAAAATAGCGATGTTAATTAGATAACAGGATTGTTTAATAGTTTCCATTTTTATATAAAAGCAAAAATTTGATAATAATTTTGTAATATGCAAAATGCTTTAAATTTAATAGATAAACTTTGAGAATATATAAAGATATCCAAGAGAGACGAGAAAAAACTCGTTGTAATTGCGTAAATTCATAATCTTTTTTTCTTATCTCTCTTGGATGTCTTTATATATTCTCAAAGTTTATCTATTAAATTTGAAGCGTTTTGCATATCTGTAGCAATGTATTTAAATATTACAAATTGCACCGTAACATTACTGTAGTCTTACATTGTAATATTTCTAAGGGCGGACATTTCAATGTTGCCGCAGGCTTGCAGTAACATTGCAGAAACATTTCGCAACTTCCATGCAATATTACAATGTTTCAATGTAAGGTATATGCAACGTTTCTGCAATATTTCGGTGCTGTATGGGAAAGTATGTATTAATCTCATTTTGCACATGCGCACAAACAATTTGATGGATATAGATTCCATAATCATAATATAGTTAACAGTTATTTTAACCTGAATCGGATATAAAAATTATCAAAGAATAATAATAGAAGAAATATAAAAACCCCTTTTAAATATGCTGTTGTAAAGTGCAAAAGCACCGCAGCATACAACAGAAATAAAAATAATAATAATGAAATCTCTTTCTTTAGGTAAATATTATAAAGTAAAAATATATAGTAAAATTATATATGTTGTGAGGCTGTCATATGTCTTTTGATCATTCAAAAAAATTCTATAATAAAATATTCTATAATATATTTAGTATTAAACTAATTATTGTTGAATAATTCAGATTTTCTATGAATATATCAAATTTATATTTATATTTATATTTATATTTATTTATTTTTCTTTAATCGATTTCTGTTTTTCGGGTGAGATACCAGGATACCGCTTGATCATATGTTATGTATATCAAATGTGTGTATGTGTTGTGTATGTGTGTATGAATGTGCGAATGTGTGTATCCTACTAAAAAACTTCACAAAGGTAAAAAAGGTACGTCAAGTACATAAAAAATATCTCTTGTACGCAAAAAAAAGTTAAAAAAAAAATATTTATCTCTAAAAAACAATTATTTAAAAAATTTTCCCCTAAAAAGTAAAAAACCTCTAAAAATCAAAAATCAAAACTATGAAATCATAAATATGAAATCAATAGTTAACTAGCCAAGTACTTAGAAGCAATTCAGTTTGTGAGGATTTGTAATTTGAAATAGTATTTGTTATAAAATTAATCTTGCACTTATAGATATATTGTAGATTCTCTCGAGAAAATTAATAGATCAGAAACGAAAAGGATTAAAATTTAAGTGACATACAAATACTTGGCATGCCCGATCTGAAATAAAAATTTGCAAAAGATTGTCAGAAATCATTATCAATATATTAATAAAAATATATGACTTATAATGTGACCCGGGCACGCCAAGTTGTTGTTTGTCACTTCAATCTTAATCCTTTTCGTCCTGGGCTTATCTGGTAAAGCTTATGATTAATTTCA